AAAGAAGCAATTCTTTTACTTATGGAGCCAATCGATTTACAAAGTTCGTTGTGTTCAAAATTGTAGCCGTTGCCCTCAATATTATATTGAACATCTTCGACTATATCCTATAGCTGCCATATCGGAACGATCGGATATGACCCAACTTTCGTTTTTTTGAAGATAGAAAGCTGGAACTTGGTACAGATTATATTTTTTGTCAATTAATCCGACCTACCAAATTTCATAATGATCGGCCGTTTATATCTTATAGCTGCCATATAACTGAACGATCGGAAATGGTTTTTGGTAGAAATACCAACTTTGGTATTTTTGAAGAAAGCAGTTTGGGACTTGTTTTAAATTTTGTATTAATATAAATTGGGTTACATTATCTAGTTCGCGTAGAAACAGACAGACGGACAGACGGACATGCTCATATCAACTCAGGAGGTGATCCTGATCAAGAATATATAGACTTTGTAGGATCGGATATATCTTCTTCACTGCGTTGCACACTTTTGGACAAAGCTATAATACCCTCTGCAAGGGTATAAAAATTCATCAAATCTTAAAAATAACTTAATACAAATAACAAAAATGATAAATATAAACTAATATTTTGTCGTAAAGCCTTTATTGGCTATAACAGCTTCACACCTACATACGTGGCAAGGAGTCCACCAAGTCCTGGCAACGCTTGAGGGGAATCTGGGCCCACGCGTCCTGTACAAATTGCCAAAGCTGCGGCTTTGAAGTCGGGGATTTCTTTGCCACATATCCCTATATGTCCCCCCATAAATTTTAGATCGGATTTAAGTCCGGGGACTGTGCTGGCCACGACATTGCATCAATGTTTTGTTGACTAACCCAACTCTTAGCCAATTTGCAGGTATGTTCTGGATCGTTATCCTGCTGGAATGTCCATTTTAAGGACATATCTCACTGGGCATAAGAAACCACTACTTTTTTGAGTATGTCGACATAGACGTTTTGGTCCATGATCCCATCGATCTTATGTATCATTAACCACGCCGCTGTACGAAAAACAAGCCCATACCAATATTTTAGGGCCACCGTGCATAACGGTCTTAAAAGTTTGTGGTTTAGGTGGTTTTCTGTGTTTGGGGGTCGTCAGAGATACTGTCTTGAGCCTGTCGCACCAAACAAGTCCAGTTTGGACTCATTTATCCAAAGAATATTGCGCCATTTTCTCACTGGCCACTTCAAATGGCCACTTTAAAATAAACTGAAGAAAACTTACTTTTCACCAAATTTTTAATGTTTTCGGCGCTTTTTGTGGATCAAAAAAAAAAAACTGATATTTTTATGAACAGCAAAAAACTTGTGATTTTGAACAAAAATGCCCAAAAAACGCAAATAAAAAGCAAATCTTACGAAATTTTTGTACTTTTCCTATCTTCATATCCCATTTTACAAAAATAATGATCAAGCGATCTACTAACGAAAAGGAAAATGCAAAAATTACCGTCCTTTTACTTCGTTGCTATTTCACTGCTATTTTAATGAACACAGCTGTGAGTATATGTGTTTTAGGTTCAAAGAAGTCTTCTCCACGGCGTTGCACATTTTGACCTAAACTATACTAGCCATACTCTGAAAGGTTATCAAAGCTCCTATTAAATATAAAAGAAATGTAACAGTGCCCGTAGTAGGCATCAGGCACATATACATATTACTAATATTTCAATTTAAATGATACGTTTCATATATTGATCTCCACCAGGTAAAGGTTTTAAATATATTTCGATTTTTGAGAGCGTTTTTGCCATAGATTCGCTCTTTTCAAGCGCACGGAAATGAAATTTTGGAAAATTGAGCAATCGGATAAGTTATGTACTATATATGCACTACCAAACACATTGCTAGCATATTCTACATTCTACAGATACAGAAAATATTTACATTTACAATTTACAGTATATTTAAAATTTTATGGTTTCTGTAGTTGGATCATTTAGCTCGATCCGAACACACTCGTCCTGATAAGCTTGCTTGGGTTTGCTAAGGTTCTTTAAGTTTTGGGGCGTATTTTCTATCTCTCGGTCGATTGACTTCGAACAAAAATGAGGTGGATGACATGGGGTATATTTGTAACTTCTCCTCTAGACAGTCCGGCGTTCCATATATACGTGGAGTAAAATGCTACGTGGTGCCATCTATGAGTGATGCCAAGCGCTTACGTTGTGGACTACATATAATTTGTACCTCTTCAGGTATCCCCATAATAACATGGATTGAGAGCAATAGATTATTGTTGTTTTGTGGTTTCAATGGTAATTTTTAAATATATGTATATACAGATATATAAATAAAAATATATTTATATATAAAAAATCTTTAACGTTTGTATATAACCTTAATTATTTGTCATTTACGGTCATTTTGTCATTTTGCCACAGTTTTTAATGCTTCACAGAATAAATTAACTAAATAATTTAAAAAGAAAACTAATTAAAAAGAAAAGATTTAAGAAAACTTTATTTTCAATTATCATTAATTGTCTAAAAAAATACAACAAAAAATAATTTTCTTCCATAAATACAAATAGTTTCTCAGTGTGTAAAATTCAAAACGCCAATCCTAGGAGATCGCACCAATTTTCACTCACCAATGTTATACTGCTCCCTCAAAGGAAGGGATTCATTTAGACTCCCTAGGTCTAGGTTAAGAATCCATACTCCTCGAACCTAAACTTGATCCTGGGATGGGCATGGAAAATTGTATATGTCTGTATCTCTGAAAGTTAGAATGGAAACTTGTTGGTGGACTGGATATTTACCCAAAATCTCCTAACGCCGTCTCTGGAGACAATCGAATCTGTTTCTTTCCACCAAAATTCTTTCTTTCCGTTTTACGAGTTCCGCAAACTATCAAAATAGAGCGCCAACTCACGAACCGCACACTTGCCTACATTCGAGATCTACATTCTACATTCGATTGAGTTTTCTATGAAGGTTCTCAAATTACACTGGTTGTTCACAACAACCAGTAGTGTGTGAATACCCTTAATATTCTCTACGTTACGGTGTAAAAAATTGAATATAAGTACTTGCCTAGGAACAGGCATGAGAAGAAAATAAAAATGAAAGATCTTTAGAGTTAAGATGGCAAGTTTTTAAAAATTTAACCGTATATATATATGTATAACCGTATATAAATTTCGAACATATATAAAACAAGAAAGGAAAGCTAACTTCGGGCGGAGCCGAAGTTTATATACCCTTGCAGTTAAAACCGGATATATATCGCAAACATCGGATATAGTTGGCCGATCCTTATGGGAATAGGAATATATAATCCAATTTATTACAATACAAAATCTAAAAAAAGTCCCAAACTTCTATCTTCAAAAATACGAAAGTTGATATTTCTACCAAATACCATTTCCGATCGTTCAATTATATGGCAGCTATGGGATATAGTCGGCCGATCCTAATGAAATTTGGTAGGTTGGATCAACTGACCAAGAATTAAATCTGTACTAAGTTCCAGCTTTCTATCTTCAAAAACACGAAAGTTGGGTCATTTCCGATCGTTCAGTTATATGGCAGCTATAGGATATAGTCGGCCGATCCTTATGAAATTTGGCATGACGTAATGTTTTGCCAAAAATATCTCACATGTCAAATTTGAACTCTCTAACTCTAAAAACACCAAAGTTATACCATTTCCGATCAATCAGTTATATGGCAGCTATAGGATATAGTCGGCCGATCCGGGCCGTTCCGACTTATATACTGCGTGCAAAGGAAAGAAGGGTGTGTGCAAAGTTTCAAGACGATAGCTTTAAAACTGAGAGACTAGTTCGCGTAGAAACAGACAGACGGACAGACAGACGGACAGACGGACAGACGGACAGACGGACATGCTCATATCAACTCAGGAGGTGATCCTGATCAAGAATATATATACTTTATAGGGTCGGAGATGTCTCCTTCACTGCGTTGCACACTTTTGACCAAAATTATAATACCCTCTGCAAGGGTATAATGACAGTTTTATATGATAAAATTTCAAACTGATACAAAAAATTCTCAAAAACCCTTAATTTTACACAGAAAAATATTTGTTTACGGGAAAAATCAGTAAATTTAAACTATTTTTCATGATATAGTTTCGGAACTGAAGTCCGTTAAGTGAAAATTCTAACCAGGTGAAGTTATTATCAAAGATTTCGTAGAAATAAAAACGTTCGGGAATTTCACATTTAAATTCATTGCTATTTTGTTTTTATTTTCATTATTCATTACATTTTGTGTATATCATGTGTATATGTATATATATATATATCATTTATTTCCTTCCGAATTTATCTATCGTTTGTTGGCTGCCCAAAGCTGGCGAATATGATTTGAAAATTGCCTCGACGGAGCTGCGAAAAAAGAAACGATAGCCCCAATAAAATATTTGTACAGATCTTGTTGTTTTGATGGCGTGTCGAAATTTTAGACAAACAGTACGTCTCATAACAGCAAGGCATTATGTCAGTGCAATAGAATATACATAATTAGGTTTTGAAAACTTGTAGTCTGATTTAGGTCAAAATATGTCCACACCAAAGTATAAAGTTAAACTCTTTCCCAGTACTATATTTATGAAACGCACTGCCCTTGGCATACTCTTGCGGCTGGGGCGCAAACAACTCAGAAGATAAAGCTAAGAAAGTGCCAGCTTGCAGCTTTAATTATGAAACATTAATGGAACAAATAGAACTCTTATTTTTTTTTTGTTGGTTTTTCATATTTTTGTCCTTTTTTTGTTTTTGATTTTGTATAATATTTCAACAGCAACGGAAACACAGAGCGATAGCTACGGCTTGCCGCAAAAACGAAGATCTTTCCTTAGCATTTAGTACGATATTGATTTCGAGTTCGGTTTTTCGACGTCGACGGGGTGGTGGTTCGTTTCGGGGTCAAAACTAACATTTAACAATTGCATCCGGAGTTACCAAGACTTTCGTCGCTACTCGTACATATGTATCCTATATATCTGACTCGTTTTGTTGTTTTCGTAATGCATTGTACAAGCTACATACATACATTATGTGGTTTATTAAATACATATGGATATTTCTTCATACTGCATACATACACGAGTATATGCATATATATATTTATAATTCATTTGATTTACTTATTTGCTATGCATGTGTGCCGTTCTGTAAACAATACAAAAAATAATAGAGCAAAATAATATTTTCGTAAATTATTGCATATTTTCCAAGTGAATCGGGTCTGGCTGGGGTCTTGGGTTTGGGGACGAGGAGATTTGGTGGAGATTTAGGCGGGGAATTAACAATAAATTAAATTTGTATGCAATGCCGTCCTTCAACGATCACTTCTCTCCCATCCGCGGAATGTCCTTTCGTGCGTATGTGTTGGTGTTGGTGTGTTGGCGTAGGTGTGTAAGTACTCGAAAACTTGTTTTTAATATTTTTGCAGTTCTCGCATGTTATAACTTGATTTAAACTTAATTTTCCTTTGCTTATGTAAGTTGCATTATTTCTCTCGTTAACAAATTACGTTTTAGAATAAGTTTGTATATAAAAAAATTATCGTTACTAGTATTTATACAAATAACAACCAGGCTAAATAGTTTGCTACAAATCCCCTCCCACTGAGAGCCCGTCCTCCCACATCCGCACCCGCTGCCTCCTTCTGGTCTTCCAGTCTAATCCGAAAGAGACGCGACATTGAATTAGAAAGAGACGAAAGGCGTGCGAGCATGGGAGGCGGGGGAGGGGAAACTAATACACAAATTCCATTTAATTTAAAAACTTTAACTTTAACGCTTGACGCTTTGCTGAATGTGTGTTCTCTGTTCAATTTTTGGTCGCATTTAAATCGAAAAAAAAAAAAATAATCATAATAATAATGATAAATCGAACAAATCGATTATGAATTGTATAAGAAATAAAGAAAAATTGGATAAATCTTAGAACATAGTGTTGGATTAGAAGCGCAGCAGCAGCAGGAACAGGATATTTCACTTTAGAACTGCACCCAGTTGGCGTTGGCTGAGTTCTGTTGTCCTTGGTTGCCACTGGAAAAGAGAAGGAAATATTTCATTATTTCGGAATCGCCAGAAGAAAGCACAAGCTCTTTATCCAGATGAGCTATGTTAGATGCTTCAATAGTTACTATTCAAAGTTAGACTATTATCTCCGATCTTGCCATTCGAACAATAAAGGATTCAACCAAGGAACTTAACTTTAATCCTTGGCTGTGGGTAAACATAATAATAATTAGGAGTATAAAATAAAAATTATACAGTTTCTCTAAATCATTTTGGTCTCCGCCGTGAAAGTTTGTTCTGGCAACTTGAATTTGGCTTGAAACTAGTCGTATTTTAATCATAAATCAATCCAGCTTGGAAACCCACCCGGCGGATGCGTAATCGGTCCATTCAGAGTTTCCAGCGGCGGGTCTGTGGGCGGGCGAGACGCCGGGACTTTGCCGCACCGTCGTCGCTGGGGCAGCGGCCGGTGGTGGAGCGATCTTTCCGAGGCCACCGGGCGGCGGTGGCAACACGCCCGAGGATCCCTGTTTCTTGCCCGTGCGCGAGCTGCCCTCGGAACCGTCCTTTTTCTAGAAAACAAAACAAAAAGGTTGATAGGTAATTGTAATGATTCGCTTAGCACATATTCTTTCGTAATAAAAATTAATTTTTTAAGATTTAAGACGCACCGTGATCCTCATGTTGATCTTGATGGTTTCGCCCTCCTTGAAACCGAGATCGAGTTCCTGCTTGGGTTCCGTCTTCTCCTTCTCTATCTGCTCCTGGTTCTTCACCCATTTGAAGTGATCCTGCAGCGCCACATTTAAGTCGAATGAGTCTGATCGATCGCCGAATCCCAGGCCGAGAAAAGCGGACCGACCGTTGTCGTCCTGCACCCGGATGACGAAGTAACGGGAGCTGTCAGATACCGCCTCGATGGCCACGCCGGGATATGTGTCGATGGGGCAGTTGGCGAACAGGGCGCCACTGGTCTTGTCCTCCAGCTTCAGGATGCAAGCAGTGCCCTTGGCCACCAGCCGCATCCTGCCCGTCCAGGTCGGTTCCTTTAGATTCCAGTCAGCCGCCCTGTGATTAAATCATGACATTATTAGTGGGCGTTTTTTTTTATAATTTCGAATACAAATTTTTAATAAAATAAATAGTTTTATGTAAAATAAATTTTTTGTTGTGTTGTTTTTAATTTTTTGTAGTTAAAAATAAATGAAATGTAAAAAGGCTTTGGAAATTGCAGGCGACATAGTTTTTGCTTTTTTAATTTTTATAAAATGGAATAACATTTTTTAAATTAATAATTAAATAGAAATAAGAATAAAATTAAATTTCTTTAGATTTTTTAAAATTTTAAAAACGTTTTTAGAGCGCATATAACACATTTATTTTTTATTCTAGTCTATTTAAATGCCGGCAGCTTCTAGGGCAAGCGGACTCAATAATCATTAATTTATATGTTCGGGCGAACTATTATTTTGCGTGTAGCTTGTATTTTTGTATTTTTTGCCCAGCAGAGCGCAAAGGAAAACAAAGAAAGCTGAAAGCAACAATAACAACAATTACACACACGCAGAGGAGCTTTTTTTTGGATACGTGTAAGTGAAAAGTACAACAATAACAATTGTTGTTGCAGCTGCACAAAGCGAGAAAAAAAATCAATTGGAAATGAACTTCAAAAGTGGCGAAGGCAGCAGCCACGAGTCGTCTGGGCAATCAGCCTTGGCTAAAACATAATTCTTGCGTATTCGACAAGCACTCTTTCAGCGAACCAATCGCGCAGAAAAAAGCCCCAAAATGCAATGTGGGGGCGTTTCGTTTGCATCAATTAAGATGAAAAAAAAAAAAATTAATTTTTCGGGTGTTTCATTTCTCTTGCTCTTTCCGCATTGGTTGACTCACCTATAGCCTCGATTGCTGGCGCGCGGCGGTATTTTGTAAATGAACACCTCGGGCTTCACGATCAGCACACTTTCGTATTCCATGTTTTTCCAAATACAACTATCTTTGATTTTGTTTATTATCTGAATTTTGTGAAATGTTTTCTTTTATTTTTGTAGCTTTAAGCTCAGCACCGTGTGCCCAGCTGCTGTGTGTGAAGTTTCCCCTTGCCCAGATATGAGACTAATGCGTTAACAAAAAATACCACTCTGGTATTTTTCTGTGTGTGTATCGATAGGCTATATCGATATGTAGCATGAGTTTGGCGCGCACTATTTAAGATTTAAAATTAACCCCATATATGTAAATAAATAGTTCATAAAGTTGGATTCTATTTGAAATATTTATATCTAAATTTTTATTTAAACAAAAAGTTTGTAAAAATGGTTTGTTTTACGTTGGAGAAAATTCGCAACAAAATATATTTTTAATGTAGATATATTAAAAAATACTTTGTAAAAGCAATATAATTTTAATTTAGTTTAATTTCAATTATACTGTGAATTTAAAAATATTATTTCGGTAATCCTTCTTAAATATAAATAACACCCTCACGCCCTCGATGATTGTTTGCCCTTTCAGGAACAACTTTTTGTATTTTCAGATAGATAGATTTTATTTTTACATAAATATAATGTTTAGGTGGAAGTTTATATTTTCTGTCTTATAATTGAAGTTACCACACTCACCTGTATAAGCGGTAACAAAAACGGAAATTTGTATGTGTTTTCAATTAAATTTAAATTAAAAAAATTAACAATAAATGTTTTAATTTATTTGTATTCCTCCAGAGTTATAGGTGTCTTGGTTTATATATTTTTTGTTGAATATACTTAAATACGAACTTACAGTTCAAATATTAATAATTTTTTTTTCTTTTAATATATTTATTTGAAAGTCTATTGGTTGAATCATAGGCTTCTGGTACTTTTACAACTATATAGGTGTGTTCGACACTTTAGTCAGTTTAAAACAACCTTTTCCCTTGTTCGAATTGCTTAATGAGGCTTAGAGTTTTGGAAGACTTGGGTCTACTTAGGTAAGAACTATTTGGCGAAGGAGAGGTATGTGGTGGATTTATTTTATGACTGCGAGAGGCCTAACTGATTTTAAATGGAAGACTCTACCTGTGAGGCAACTGTTAACCGCCAATTAAGGGCCTACCTGGTTGTGGGGTGGGTGCACCTGTGCCAAATAAAAAACGTGCCACAATTGGGCCCGTTGCATCATTGCACATCGAGAAGTCGACGAGAATGCTGTTTCTGGTGTACATTTTCCTGGTGATTGTCGGTTCCACCCTGGGCAACGACGATGGGTGCAACGAAGTGGTGTGCGGCTCCGTGGTGTCCAAGTGCCTCATCACCCAGAGCTGCCAGTGCAAGCTGAACGACTGCCACTGTTGCAAGGACTGCCTTAACTGCCTTGGGGAGCTTTACACGGAGTGCTGCGGCTGCCTGGAAATGTGTCCCAAGCACAAGGACGCGCTGCCCTCGCTGACGCCCCGCTCCGAGATCGGAGACATTGACGGGCTGCCGGAGCTGTTCGACACCCTCACCGCCGAGGAGGACAGCCAGTGGTCCACCATCCGTTTCCTGATGCGTCCGGGCCTCAAGCAGCGCGTGCAGGGCGGAAGTGCCCCGGCCTCCCCGCCCGCCGGGGGCAACTCCTACTGCACCGTCGTGTATGTGAACAGCTGCATCCGGGCGAACAAGTGCCGGCAGCAGTGCGAGAGCATGGGCGCCAGCGGCTACCGATGGTTCCACGACGGCTGCTGCCAGTGTGTCGGGGATCAGTGCCTTAACTACGGGATCAACGAGAGTCGGTGCCGGTCGTGCCCGGATGAACAGGAGCAGGACGACCTACTCACCGAGAAGCACGTCCCTAACGAAGCCGACCAGGACCTGGAGCAGTTGTTCGATTTTGATCCCGAGGAGCAGGACGAGGACACCTGGGCTTACGGCGAAAACGAGGATAACTACCCGGGGGAGTACTCCCTAAAGAAATTTTAGGAATATTTCACCTAGCTTCTAAGCAAAATGATTACAATGTGATTACAAACATTTTTTCAAATATGTTTAAAATTAAAATTAATTCAACACTTATATTTACATATGTATGTTCCTTTGGTATAATTGTTTTTTTTTTTAAATAAATATTTCCATGACACACAAAAGTAAAATATTCATTTTTAAAAGCCATAAATAAAAGACAAAAAAATTTTTTTTTTTAAATCGAATAGAATGTTTATTTTTTCAGAAAATTTTTAGGCCTTTTCCAAAACTTGAAATATGCACTGAGGAACACCAAGTACCAAAATTAATATAATTTTTCCGAATTTTTTTCAAAATTTGAAGTTTGAAAATTAGCACTTTGACACTCCATTTTATACTTTTACTGTTATACAATGCATATATGTTTTATTTTTTTTGGCAAAACCCAAAATTTTAAATGATTCTGCCTCAATTCAATTGAGGATAATCATTGTTTTTATACCCTTGCAGAGGGTATAATTTTGCAATTTTGTCCAAAAGTGTGCAACGCAGTGAAGGAGACATCTCCGACCCTATAAAGTATATATATTCTTGATCAGGATCACCTCCTGAGTTGATAAGAGCATGTCCGTCTGTCTGTCTGTTTCTACGCGAACTAGTCTCTCAGTTTTGAAGCTATCGTTTTGAAACTTTGCACACACCCTTCTTTCCTTTGCACGCAGTATATAAGTCGGAACGGTCGGGACCGGCCGACTATATCCTATAGCTGCCATATAACTGAACGATCGGAAATGGTATTTGGTAGAAATATCAACTTTCGTATTTTTGAAGATAGAAGCTTGGGACTTTTTTTTTGATCTTTAATTGTAATTAATTGATTTTATTATGTTGTAATCATAAGGATCGACCAACTATATTCGATGTTTGCGATATATATCCGGTTTTAACTGCAAGGGTATATCAACTTCGGCTCCGCCCGAAGTTAGCTTTCCTTTCTTGTTCTGGATAAATCAGCTACACAGGCTGTTATCTTAACAGTAGGATGTTATTTTAAAATAACAGTGATATTTTAACATATATTCTCATCTGTAAATCAGTCTGTTATCAGAACGTCGGTATATTAACATTAGGCTGTTACGTAACATTTCGAATATATAATGGTATGTACCTAGTACATATTACTTTATTCATATTTCTGTAATACAATACAATGCCAAAAAATAAAATTACACACAATCAATGCAATTAGGGAAATCAATGCATCCATGTTAGATATTCAGTTGGTAATAGTTTAGTATTATATATATATATATAATTGATGGTATATGAGTTAATTATATTATATGGGTGGTAGGTGTCGCAGGCGTTAGTAAGATTATGGTGTAGTGGGGTGTGGTCGTCCCTGGCGTTTGCCGAGGGGGTTGCTTCTCATTGTAGGTCGTAAGCGATGATTGGGTCTCGCCCGGTTGCCGACGGCGATTCCTTCTTTCACAGGAATTATGGTGGGATATCACATCTCATGAGGCGCGGTGACCAATTCTATAAAATGAATTTACTATTTAAAGGCTGTGCCGGACTATGGGACAAATGCCTTCTTTATTGAATGAAGCGCAAGTACAAACTGAAACTTATAGCTGACAAAAATGTATTTCATAGCGGCCACGCAAATATGCAGTGTTCGCCGGCTATGTATGGGCATCCGGCCAGAACTGTGTCAGCAGTTTGGCCAGAGCGAGTTCTTAAATAATAGGACATTGCCGTTGCGCGGTTAACCACTCCCCCTTCAGAAATGAGGCCGTCCTCGGCCGACCCTATTTGGGCAGTCATCTCTTTTAGCTGGACCGCGGTTCTTCGGGCCTTAGTGACTCGCCAATAGGTCAAGCCGATGCAAATCAAATCGCAGCATAGGTAAGGAAGACTGAGACGTTACGTTCCATAGAGACGTTCAGGGAAGGTGAGCCTGCCACTCCTGGAGCCATCTTCTGGGCTGTGTCATGATTGACCAATCGGGATTCGTTGACGATGGCACCTTCTGCAAAGGGGACGAGATATGTGCCCCTTACATGGACAGACACACGCGAGCCGGGCGATCATTTATAATTACAATCCCCTCATTAACGTCAGTATGCATCCATCGTGGAGCTCTTGAGCGCATGATCTTTCTCACGCCAGCTGGAAAAATGTAGCCCCTGATGTCGCAGAGCAATTTTTTACTGTGTGGATGTCACCGTCGCATTCAGCAATTACGTTGTCTTCCAGTCTGAGTATGGTGTCGTGATGCGACACCGTGAAAACGGTGATCTTGTTACAGGCCGACTTGATTTTTGGAAACCTAATAATAAAGGGTAAGATGTTATCGGATTGTAATATCTTAACGGACGATACGGACAAAACATCCCTAATCGCGGTCTCGGTGGGCTCTTCCATCCACACACCTTCTAGGTCTGCATGATCTAAGATGCTAGAGCTAACAACATTAACCTTGGCAAATGCTACTGCCAGCATTAAACCCTGCAGCTCCATTGTAATCATCCTATTTCGAGTTAAAAGCATCTCGAATAGATGCCCTGTATCAATTTGGGACTTTTAAGCTGACCTCAGAAGTTGGTTGACGGTAGCGGAAATTTTATTAATTTGAATTTGTACTTTATTGTTCATATTGACCTGCCTATTGTTTGCATTTATTATTTGAAATTCCTTGAATTTAATTTGTTCAAAAGGGAATAGCTGAGGTAAGGATGTAAATCTTTAACTCCGGATATATTTAACTCGGATTTTTGTTCAAAACGGAGTAGCCCACCGTCAAAGCATGGAAAACAAGGTACGAATAAAAATAATAGTAATAAAAAATTATGCCAAGTGGCTAGAAAGAAAGATAAAAAAAAATGAAAAATTATCAGGCGAGCGATAATACTATTGCTATTCTCGGCCTACTTAAGGTTGTGCTTGTGAACCACCCTCCCCTTAATGAGAACTGTGGTCCCCATGTCCGCTTCCACGGGTTTTTTCTCACACAAAGGTGATAGTTTGTTGCTCAGTTGCCTGTTAGACTTCACTAGGATTTTTGCGCCAACTTTGAAAACCCTGTTTCCCCGGAAAGCGTTTTCCCTGTCTCGGAACTTGTCTTGGGCGTGTTTAATCGTATCCTGCATCGCGTACTGCGGGTCTTTCGATTCCGTGTAAAGCGCTTCGGCTGGCCTCTTGTCGTTGGCCGACGTGTAGCAGGGATTTTCCCTTAAAAAATGAATGACGTCCGAATTATATTCTTGAATGGCGTCGTAATCAATTTCCTGAGGGGCGCATAAAGCTGAAGCGCTGTACGACATATTAGCTTTGTTGGTGAGAAAGGTGAGTTTTTTCTCAACCTCGTCGTAGTATTGCAGGAGGGTCAGATTTCCCTGCCTGATAGTACCCATTTCCTGCTAGATGACGTGAATCCGACGCTTATCATTGTACGTAAAATCGAGTCGATTTATAATCGCGTCGAAATTTAGCACAGTGCCAAACGAGGATAGCACGGCATCGGCAGGGCCTCTAATTTTATTCCTAATAATAATAACTGCCTGATAATGGCGCGAGCTATTTACGTAATTCCTAAAAATATAATATGCGGCTACTGCCAATTGCCGCCAGGAGACGTATGCGTCCAGTGCTCCCGTGAATTCGGGCAGGCACTTAACGGCATCTAGGGGCTCGTCACATTTGACATTATCCCTAATTTCTATTGGCTCATAAACCTTAGCTTGTGGGGTTTCCACTTGGGCGCGAGCGATTTGTACCGCATTGACTCGGGCGTTCAGTTGCTGTATAGCTAGACGCAGCTCATTTTGTCTACGCTGGCTTTCAATATTGGCTTTTTGAACAGCATGTTGGACGGCCGCCTGAATGGTGGCTGTCATCTGTTCCATGTTGAAAGCCATGTTCGCGAGTTTGGGAGCGCTAGCGTTAGCGCTTTTTGGGGTGGAAAATCTGGCCGGCTCTTTGGTCTCGGACTCAGAATCACTAGAGAGTTGTTTTGTGTTTCTATATTGTTGAAAGGGATTGCTCATGTGGAGCTGCTGCTATAAAGTCGCCCGAAAAAAAAAATTTATGTATGAATTATGTGCCGACAGAGGCGATTGAGCTGGTAAAGGGGGCCGCGGGAGCTGAGCTGCCGCTTTAGTTATGTGTGCGAGCTCGTCGAACTGCGCTGTTGCCTTGCCAAGTAGATGCAAGGTGGGGGGTGCGCGGGACTGAGCCTCCGCTATGACAAACAAAGAAAAATAAAAACAACAAAGTGCCACACTCCGCATGCGCGGCCGTATCTTTTTCCTGAAAATGGAGTGGGGAGACACAACGGAAAAGAATAACAAATAACCAAGACTGCGCAGCTAGTACCAAGAATTCAGACATATAAAAGCTGAATTAAATGCACACAATTATATGTAAGAATTATATTGGATTGGAAATTAAATTTTGAGCTAGCGATTCTTTGCCCTGGTTAAGAATTTTTTAATTCCGCAACTTGGTGATGTTGTATTAAAATAATTATTTATTTATTCACTAAATAAAAGAAATGCAAACAATATTGGGAAGTAAATATCCCGAAAATGGTTTATAAAAAATTATATATACAAAAATATTCACATAAAATTTAACGTGTTAATGCTAAACCGTCAACCAAATTAAGGGAATTAATTTATGTGAAAACGTTAGTAGGGCTGCAGATTTTATGTTATGTGCCAGTGTAAGGAACAAATTTCACAAATATTGTCTTTTTTTATTTAAAAAAAAATCTAATGCAGACATAGAGGGTTTTTAGATGAAAGTGCTCACTTACATGACTTTTACGTTGGGTGCCTGTTAATTATGTTATAGGGCGGTAGATTATATTCGGTTATCCCTCGCTGCACTCAGTGGTGTCGCAGGCGTTAGTAAGATTATGGTGTAGTAGGGTGTGGTCGTGCCTGGCGGTTGCGGAGGGGGTTGCTTCTTCTTGTTGGTAGTAAGCGATGATTAGGTCCCTGGCGGTTGCCGAGGGAGATTCCTTCTTCGACCGGAATTATGGTGGGAGCACTTGCTCCGTTCTCACGGCCCTTGCGGCGCGGTGACCAATTCAATAAAATGAATTTAATATTTTACTGCTGTGCCGGACTATGGGACAAATGCCTTCTTTATTGAATGAAGCGCAAGTACAAACTGAAACTTATAGCTAACAAAAATGTATTTCATAGCGGCCACCGCAAATATGCAGTGTTCGCCGGCTATGTATGGGCATCCGGCCAGACGCTGTGTCAGCAGTTTGGCCAGAGCGAGTTTTTAAATAATCGGACATTGCCGTTGCGCGGTTAACTTCAGTTGACTTATGAGTAAAATCATGATTTAACGTTAACAAAAGAAATAAGACATATGTTAAGAAAGTAAGATATGTAAGAAAGTCTACAAAAATATGGATAATGGACCTTGTCACTGAGGTGTCCTCTTCAACTCTGGGTTGGACGGACATTTCCGACTGCCATCGATTCCTCAGTAGACTGAGTCAAGCAGCTCACAACCTCCAACCTCGTTCTTGGGACCAGGGACGGGCCAGGTATCCTCCGGGTAGCCGACCGAAGAACCCTTTGATTGGCAAGCTAATGTGAGAAGGCGATTTGTGGTTTAAATGATTAGATTCATTGATTCTGTCGATAGTTGGTAATTTTTTTTCTCCGAGTACAATTTGGGTCTTATTGCCAGGGTCTTATTGGCTCCTTCGACGCGCAGTTTTTTCTTTTCTTATTTTACTTAATTTTGCATTTTAATCCTTACATTCTATAGTTTCTCATATATTCATATATTCTACTTTTTTTTGTTTAATTGACTAACATTGGGATCTCCAGATCTTGCACCAGATGCATCGGAGTTATTAACCTATATTTAGCTTATTTCTCTGACATATGCAGATAAGCTGTTATTTAAAATTTTTTTGTTCATTTATGTCCAAATAAAATTAAAAAAAATTAACTTTAAAACAAAAAAAAAAAAATTTTAAGACAGTTGGTTTTAATAAATTTATAACTAAAACAAGAAAGGAAAGCTAACTTCGGACGGAGCCGAAGTTGATATACCCTTGCAGTTAAAACCGGATATATATCGCAAACATCGGATACAGTTGGCCGATCCTTATGAGAATATCATAATCATAACCAATTAACTAAAATAAAAAATCTAAAAAAGGTCCCAAGCTTCTGTCTTCAAAAACACGAAATTTGGGTCGATTCCGATCAATCAGTTATATGGCAGCTACAGGATATAGTCGGCCGATCCGTTCCGACTTGTATACTGCGTGCAAAGGAAAGAATGGTGTGTGCAAAGTTTCAAGACGATAGCTTTAAAACTGAGAGACTAGTTCGCGTAGAAACAGACAGACAGACAGACGGACATGCTCATATCAACTCAGGAGGTGATCCTGATCAAGAATATATATACTTTATAGGGTCGGAGATGTCTCCTTCACTGCGTTCCACTCTTTTGGACAAAATTATATGCAAGGGTATAAAAATGGGAAAATATACACAAGATGATGTTAGAGGAAGCTGTTGGCTCCGCACGAACTGGCCTCATAAGGAGTGTCGTGGGTTATCCGACCTGAGTTGAATTGAGCTTGCAAATGTATTCAGCCTGATCCCTATGGCTGGGGAAAAATGGATCCTCTGCGATGAAGTTGACCAAAAACAAAGTGCTTGTCTCCAATGACGTTTAATCTGGCTGACTGAATCTGGAGCTCTTCCAATAGATTTGATCGGATGTGGTGGTGTCATGGGTTGCATTTACATGGGTTAGAAGAAATAAAGGCTCAAAAGGACTTGAATGTTGTTGGTGATACAGGAATTTTATATGGGCGATGCAGGCAAAGTGTATCGTTGCTGAATTCAACAGCCTCCCTCTTTCATCAGGTCATCAGTTGATTTTTTTTATGCCTTTTTAGTTTGTCTTTATTGTTTTGTCTTGATTTAAAATAAATTAACTAATTACATTTTTCTTGCATACAAATTTCTATAATATAATATTAAAGGAAAAACAAAAACAAAATATAAAATTTTTTACAAATTATGGTTTTTTTCTTTATACCTGGTCGAAATAAATATTGGGACACTTTATTTTTTTTTAATAAATTCATAAATGATTTTTAATTTTTTTTGTTTTTATTTTATTTGTAAATATAGAGAAGAAATGCATTGAAAACAGATAAAACTTTTTTATTTTACTGATCCTTTTCACGAAAATTTGTATTGTTATGTTAGCTCCCTTAGAAATAATTATTGGGACACTGTATAGAAAATAATTTTTAAAAAATTCATAATTGTAGAAAAAAAATGTATTTTCTCACCTAATAGTGGGTATTGCCTGCGTGCTTTGAAATGACTTCAGCCAAGCGTTTAGACATTAAATTAGCCAAATCCTGCAATGTTTTTCGTCGATTTTGGCCTATTCTTCAACAAAACCCTTCTTGAGCTGTGCCAAACTGTCGTCCATTGCTGTATACTCTATTTGAGAGTATACCCCACACATTCTAAATCGGGTTTAGGTCGGGACTACAAGCTGGCCACCCCAAAAGTTCAATTTTTTAATCCTCAAAAAACTGCTTTGACACTTTGGATACGTGGATGGCGGCGTTATCCTGTTGAAAAATTAACTTTTTCTCAAAATAAGTTTCGCCAAACGGTATCAAAACGTCGTCCATTAGTCTTATGTACATCTGACAATTCATTCGTGTTAATAAAAAACACATAGAGGATCTTCCGGCGTGTCCAAATGCGGCCCATACCATCAGTGAAGCACCTCCGAAATTGCGAGTCTAGCAGGACTTGCGTTCACGGTGGATATCTCTCCAGGACATCATTTTTCCGTCAGGACCATTCAAGTTGAAAAAAATAAAGTGTCCCAATATTTATTTCGACCAGGTATATGTATATACGTTGTGTATACAGACTGTTCCGAAGACTAATCTTCTTATCAGGAACTCCCAAGCTAAAGGTCAAGATTGACTTAAAAGCATCAGTTTAAATTTTTCCAGTGACTCTTTAAGAAGAAATTTTTGTCCAAATGCAAAAATAAATAAGGATCATTCCGGTGGTACTTTATTCTGCTCTTGGTTAAAATTCTGACTCTTTACTATTATTTTTATTAAAAAGTTATTCTAAGTGGAAAATCCATGCTCGTCCTATCTATCGGAAGAAATGGAAGATGAATGTGCTGCCGTGTGTTACCCGATTGTTAAACCTCTTCTGAGATATTTTGAAAAATGCCAGGAGAAGAATTCTCAGATATCACAGTGCCAGAAAGACTTCTTGGATTTGCAGAATCGTAGAATTCTTCTGAAGCAAAGTTGTCAGAAAACAAAAATTCGGATATTAAAACAGGTAACTCGTCAGAAGGGACTCGTAGGACTCGTCGAGTCCCACAGAGAATTCAGAGTTTAAAGGGATCTCATCCAGGACCTTGGATTGCTGGATAGTCATTATTATTTGGACTCATTATTTGGGGTTGTTGGACCAGGATCTGGAAGAGTTAGAACAGCTATTGATTTTATTTTTAACTTTTGGGTTCTGCCAACTTACGTAGGGTGTTTGTTTTGAAAACCTCCAACTATGAAAATTACCCAGTTGATTTTTTTTTTCAATTTCTCCCAATTTGTACTGTTTTTGTAGATATTTTCTTATTCCTTCATGTCAGCTTTCGATAATTTGAGTGCAATTTATTTTGCCAGTCCGAGTGGTCTTTCTGGCACTGTGGTGGCTGGAGATCCATCTCCCGTGAGTTTTCAAAATATCTCAACAGAGGCTTTACAATGGTATCAGACGGCAGTACACTGGTCCTTCATTTCTTCCGATAGATAGCATGACTGTGGAATTTTAAAATTAATTTAATCAATAAATTTTAAAAATAGAAACACTTACTTCTTTCCGATCCCTGGTTGAAAATTAAATAAATTGCAGAAAAGAGTACCACCGACAGGAAAATTTTGTATACATATTTGCGTTTGGAGGAGACTTTTTTATTAAAGAGTCAGTGGAAGAATTTCAACTGATGCTGCGAGACTCGTGGCTCGGGCTTTTTAAATCATCCCTGGTCTTGAGACTAAGCTTGAGTTTCTGATAAGAAGACGGTCTTTTGCGGAATTGGGACTATGGGCGCACACTTATAGAAAAGTCAAAATATTTCACAACCACAATGCGTACTGATAAGATTTCAAAGGTCAAAAAATACTTGATTAGCAACAAGATTTTTTTTAAATATTTATTGACAACTTCTCCGTATAATTCTTGTGTAACTAAGCTGGTTATTCGTTAATATTTGTTTAAGTATTTCTTAAGTGTTTAAGTATTTAAGTGATTTCTCCCCTCTCGACAAGACAGCTTTCTAAGCCGGTTGAGCGTTAGCGAAAGGGAAAAATTGGGGCCGCGTAGGCGTTGAAAGTTTAAGAGCAAGGACCACAAAGGGTCCTCTCCAAAACACACTTATCACAAGGAGTGTAACTGTTTTATTAGATAATATGAAAAACCAGAAAAATTAACATTTTGTTACGAATAATTAATAATATTGATTACTTTTATAACTGTACTTCATTTTATTCTGATAGAAAATATACCCAATATTTTTCATAGAATCTTAATAGCATACCTCGATATAATCTATATTTAATGTATATTTTACAGATTAAAAACTACGATTTTATATTTAAAAACCTGTTCAAAAAAGTTTTTCTTTATGAAAGGAAAGGAAAGCAAAGATATTTTTGAGGTTTAAAAAAATAATAGTTTTTATATACTTTATGTATATATATTTATATTTATATTATATATATATGTATATATTCATTATATTATATATAGATCGGAGATGGCTTCTTCACTGCGTGGCACCTTTTTGACCAAAATTATAATACCCTCTGCAAGTGTATATAAAAAGAGGCGGTAACTTAAAAGTCTTCTAACCTTAAAGTCTTCTAAAGAAAAAAACCGAAAATATAAAACCTTTTGTACGTTGTTGGAACTAACTGCGCCAATCACTTGATTTAACGTCTGTTATCTTAACAATGGAATGTTATATTTGCAGAAAAGATCTGAACATGATTATGTTATTCAGGTAAATGTTACCTTAAAGGCAGGCTGTTACTTAACATTTATATATGTAGTTAGATAGTTTATTTATTTATTTGGAGAAAAAAAAACACACTACTATGAAATATTTTCAAAGCTGTATTTACAAAACTGAACAGAAAAATATATCAAAAACCGTAAATTTTAACATAAAGGAAAGGTAATCAATGAAAACCTTGTTTAGCAACAATAGATATGGGAACCTTTGGCCTATCTCCTTCATCGCAGATTAGATGTTAAATTTGTAGTTTCATTGTAACATATTATCGACCATGCATATCAATTCAGGAGGTGATCCTGATCAAGAATATATATACTTTATAGGGTCGGAGATGTCTCCTTCACTGCGTTGCACACTTTTGGACAAAATTATTCAAAAGTGTGTAAATAATTATATAATTATTAACAAATAATTATAAATTAATAATGCAAGGGTAGAAAAATCTATAAATACCCATCATTTTTTAGGTCGATGAAAAAGCTTATGATATTCTGTAGCTATTTCGTTAATGTTGAGAATTCAGTAGTTTTTGGTTTAACGTTGAAAATAAAATCCTGGTGAAAATAAATCCCTAAAAACGATAAAGAGACCGACACTTGAATTCTAATTTTAAAAAATCTTCGAATTATTTGTTGATGGTTTTAATTGCACATTCAAGAACGTTAAATAATTCTATACTATTTGATCAATTTTGAAATAATACACCGAGCCGTTGACTACATACATATAAATTGTACGACTGTTAACATGTTACGAGTATATACATATGTATGTATATGTTTATGTATAGGCTAGCATAAGGTGGGTCTGTTAGTAAAATCATGCTGAAACGTTATAAGAAGCCTGTTCAGATTTTAACAGCAGAATTCCAGAATTCCACACATGACCTTAAAATCACTAACTAACAAACTAAAAACTTATTGTCTGGTTCTTTTTTGTGTTATTGTAGGGTATCTTCGCTTATTCGAGAGAAGACACATGACGTTAACTGATAATCCTCAGTGGTCGTTTAAAAAAATTTCAGATTTAGGTAGCATCGTACTTTTTTCAAGTTTTTTTAAATTTTCAGGTCACACAGGGTTTGCCCATATGTTACATTTTAGTTTTACGCCTTTTTTTTTTGATAAATATATAATTAAAAAAAAATGTAATTGTGCATGTATAATGGGGATATGTGTTTAAAAAAAATTCAAAAGTTTAGGTACTTGTTAATATAATAGAGGGTGCCACTCTTACAAACCTGTAAGGTAGATAGTGTTGACATGACATAGAACAATGTAAATTTTATAACCGTCTTAAATACATTAAAAATCACATTTCAATGGGTAAAATACCAATTTAAAAAGAAAGGACGGCTATAGTCGAGTTTCCCGATTATATTATACCCGGTGCTCATCTCTCATCTCTGTGGGTGTAGTTAGCCATTGGAACAGCTTGGCATTAAAACATTAACGAACAGTCTCTACAACCAGATTTCTGTGTTGGGGGCGGGAGTGGGCGTTACAAAATTTTGATAAAAACTTGATTTGCGCGGACGATCCCCAATTCCAAGTCTGATAGTTCTATCTTTTATAGTCTGCGTTTGTATCACCTCAAAAAATCGTCCGATTTGTTTTTCAGATATATGTATGTCAACTATGGAAATAGTCATCAAAAGTTTTTCAAAAAACCTTCCAGTACTTGCGCTACAGAATTTCGCTATTTGTGGTGGCGGAAAGGGGCGTGGAAAATTTTTGGAATTGAACCAACTTTAACTGCGTGGGCATTGTAGGAGTCTCCATGGCAAGTCCTATAGTCCTTTCTCTTATAGTCTCTGAGATCCACGCGCTCATACAGAAAGACGTACATGGCTATATCGACCCGGCTGTTAATGCTGATCAAGAATATATATTCTTTATGGGGTCGGAGATGATTCCTTCTCTATGTTACATACATTCACACGACCACCGGGTACCGGGTATAACAACTTCAGTGTAGTAGGCGAGTCTTAATGATATTATTTGTAGCTTGCAGTCTGTGCAGAGGAAGCAGTCGTGTCAGCAAGAAATGGGCTTAAAAAGGGCCTTACTTCATAATAATACTGGCTTAAATAAATAATAATGGCTTTGGGTTATATATGGCATTTTTTATTCCACCGGAATTGCATTGAGCCTACAAATATTTCCGGCCACATCACTGTGGCCACGCGGCGGGCACTACCAGATATTATGGCGTATTTACCCTCCAACTATTAGCCTCGCCTGTGCCTTTGACGTTGAGCTGACATCGAAGCGTGAAGATCTTCTAACAGATTTTATTATACATACCTTGATGTTAATGTCATGGAATACCCCTTCTTCTAAAGGCTCAAGAGGAATGGAACCTTGTTGGTAAAATGGGTACGTGGCTGCTCTTCAGTGGTTTTGCGGGTACCACTCGCAGGACTTACCATCTATGATTTCAAGACGGGACCAGTATGCTGCTGTTGGCTGTATCGTAATACAGGTAAAGGATATTGGGCATTATCCCCCTTTCTAGGCAATTGATTTATTTTTTCATGTCTTTCAGTTTTAATTGTCTTTATTTTGTCGGTTTAACTTAAAATAGAAATAGCTGAAATTTTTTTTTTTACATAATATATATACTTTAACCTCAAGGTCAAGTTCGACCATAAAGCATTAGATGATATTTTTCCAGTGACTCTTCAAGAAGAAAGTTTAGTTTAAACGCAAAAGTAGAAAATGATCCTGCCTGTGGTGCTCTTTTTCCAATTAATTACTCGTGCTATCTATCGGAAGAAATCGAAGACGAGTTTGCTGCCGTTTGTTACCCCATAGTGAAACCTCTATTAAGGTACTTTGAAAAGTGTCAGGAAAAGAATTCCCAGATATCTCAGTGCATGAAGGATTATTCGGACATGCAGAATCGCAGTCACAAACCGAAGAGAAGTTGGCAGGAAATTCATTTTCGGATAATGAAACTTCTGATATTCTCCCATTCGTCAGAAGGTGTTATTCCTCGTGTGGATATCTACGGATCCACTTTCATATTCTACTTCCTTGGGATTAAAGATATTTTCGTAGAAATCTTTATTGCAAACCCTCTTCTGAGTAAGCTTAAAGGGATCTCATCCTGGAATTTGGATTGCTGGATAACCAACTCGTTGTTTGAGTTTGTTGGACCGCGATCTGAAAGCTGGAAGAGGTATTGTTTTATTTTGTAAACTATTGGGTTCTGCCAATTTACCTATGGTGTTTGTGTTTTGACATCTTCTGAATTTGAATATTAGCCAGTATTAGCATATTTTTCGTTGATAGTTTCTGGATCTATTTCTTGTCCTATATTTCAACTTCCTGATTAGAGTGTAAGTGCAATTTATTTGGCAAGTCCGCATGATCTTTCTGGCACTGTGGTGCCTGAGAATCCTTCTCCTGTCATTTTTTGAAATACCTTAACAAGGGCTATGGTATCAGACGGCAGTACACTGGTCCTCCATTTCTTCCGATAGATAGCACGACTGTGGAATTTTAAAATTAATTTAATCAATAAATTTTAAAAATAGAAACACATAGAAACACTTACTTCTTTCCGATCCCTGGTCGGAAATTAAATAAATTGCAGAAAAGAGTACCACCGACAGGAAAATTTTGTATACATATTTTCGTTTGGAGGAGACTTTTTTGTTTAAGAGTCAGTGGAAGAATTTCAACTGATGCTGCGAGAGTCGTGGCTCGGGCTTTTTAAATCATTCCTGGTCTTGAGACTAAGTTTGAGCTCGAAGTTTCTGATAAGAAGACTGTCTTCTACGGAATTGGGACTATGGGCACACACATACAGAAAAGTCAAAATATTCCACAAACACAATCCATACTGATAGAATGGCATGAGTCAGACATTTTATTTTTATACCCTTGCAGAGGGTATTATAATT